TGAGCAGATTAAAAGGATATGTTTAATTTATAAGTCCTACTCTGATTAGAAATGATAGATGTAGAAAGATTGCTGAAGGATAATTTTCATACTCAATTTGCAATAATCACACATTTCTTTCATCAAGACATGTATCCAATATAATCTCTCAAATCCCAAAATACACATGAAAATAAAGCCCAGTAAATGACATCAGACAGGATAGGATAAAAATGACACTCCTAAAAAGATTTAGAACACACTAGGGTCTAAATCAAGATGCACAGAAACAAACCTAGGCATCTGTGAATCTTTTTAGAAAAGCATCATTTCTCCCTGATTTTTTATTAGAAACATTTCAAAGGAACAAAAATTGGAATAACAGCATAATAATAATTGAGGATTGTGATTTTTCCTATTTTTATATCACACACATATATTTAAATATACACATATGTACAAGTATTAAGGGACAGATTTTTTCATATTAAATTGCAGGCATCGTAACACAGTTACCTTAAATACTTAAACATGTATCTCCTGCAAAAGGGATGCTATTCATGTAATTGCATAACATTATTTTTCCTAAGAACATTAATAACTCTCTAGTTCCACCTAATAGAAATTCTAGAGTCAAATTTCACCAGAAAGCAGTCAAGGTTCATATATTACATTCAGCTCTCTTTAAATCTGGAGTGTTCCTCTTATTGCTGATATTCTTTTCCTGATACATTGACTTTTTTGTACCAGTGTCTGTAGATTTCCCACAGAGGGGCTTTGTCTATCTGATGTTTCCACTTGGGTATTTTATTATTATTCTATACCTTATTATTCTTGTAAGTCAAAAATTAGACTTGATTGGGTAAATATTGAAGATTTTTTTGGCTTGAATACCTCATAGGTAGGTTTATTCTGACTTGCATTCTGTTTCCACATAAGTGCAAATATGCCCCATCACTATCAGGATTGTTTTGGTTTGAACACTATCTAATTTGAATTCAACCAAAGGGAAAAATGGCAGAGTGCTCAAGATTTAATTTTCTCCAGCCAATTGCATACATTATCTGTTTCTTTAAATGTGAGGTATTTCTAATATCAAAATTAGTGTGTACTCATTTTGGAAAAGGTGAAAAATACAGAAATGTATGGAAAAAGAAGACAAAATTTACTGCCTATCTCCTTTTCAGACAAAGCCACTAACATTTTAGTGTAGTCTTTTTCCTCTGTAATATGGTGATTTCTATATCACAGAACATAAAATTCTGTTACAATTTTTCCTATTTGATTTGTACCAAAAACATTTTTTCATATTATTTAAAAATTTTTATTAATCCTTTAATAACGACTGTCTTTCAGATTGTGGAATTCCTGCCATTTGCTATTTAGGTTGGTTTCAATTTTTTCCTAGTATAAATAATATTATGGAGAATATCTTTATCTAGAAAACTGTTTTTCTCCTTTTAAAATTTCCTTATAAAATTATTGAAATAAAAGCAATGAATTTTTAAAATTTATTTTGCTCCTGATTCTTAAAGTAAGATGAGCTTATCATTGACAAGTAAAATATAATAAAACCAGAAAAGTAAAAAGCATTCCACATTCTCCACCCAGAGGCAGTTGTTATTAGCATTTTGACATGATTTTTTCTGATATAGGCAGTTATTTTCTTTCTGAGTAAGGATCAAGGATATGAACATTTTTAAGGCTTTTGATATTACTGCCAAATTGTTTCCAGTTTATCGATTGATCCTCTTTCTGGAAGTATATGAATTGTGACTAATCTGAAAACACTAACATCTAAAAGTCATCAAGTAAGTATGGTTATTTCAAAACTTACCATAAACTTCATTTTGGCTCCCTAAAAATCTGTGAATATGGGATAGGGTATAAAAAAGTGTTGAATAAATGTTACTTGGAAAACATCTCTGGCTTTTGGTATGGCTGCAGTTCACAGTTTTGAAAGGCTGCCCTTGTTAGTTCATTTTGGAGGGAACTAGACTTAGTTGACAGGTAGTTATGAAAGTGAGCTAACTGGTCCTTCTAGATGAAGTCAAGCTATTGATCATTAATATTTGTTTCCTGGGACAGATAGAGAAAATATTCTTCTAATTAGGGGTTTCCAATCTTTGTCATGTCATGACACATACAGAAAACAATGATATTGTTCTATACTCTGGGGTAATGAATGAGGCTGATATAGTCCTGAGCTCCACCTGGTTGCCCTGAGGACTGAAGAATCAAGATCTTAGACACCTACAATCCATCATGGTACATCTGGGCCAGCTGTGCATTCTAGGGAACCTAGAAGTGTTAGGAAAATAATTACTTTTTTTTTTTTGGTACCAGGGATTGAACTTGGGACCTTGTGCTTGTGAGGCAGGCAGCAGAACCACTGAGCTAAATTCCCGGCCCCATCATTACTTTTTAAAAAAATTTGTTTTTCTAGTTTTTTTGTCCCAACCTTTTCCTTATAATCAAAGACTCCAACTGTGACACCTTTCCTTAGTACTGTAGAAAGGTAGATATTTTTCTTAAACTTCTGATCCTACCTCTTCATTATTCTCCACAACATATGCTCAATGTTTTATTTACTAGTTAGCCTCTCTCATCTAAAGTCACTCACTTAACAATAATTTGATGAGTTCCAGTACATACAAAGGCACTTTGCTCAACACTGGAAATAGAGTGATGGTACAGAGACCTTTTGACTCTAATGTGTCACACAAAAATGGGAAGCCATATAGAGGACCCCAGTCTAGAGTCTTGATCTCTTCCAAGGTAAAAAGAAAGACAAGGAGACAAGACTTAACAGAAAGTGGGGAACTGGGTTGGCTGCACTGAGCATGTGGTGAGGACCCCAAGCAACTAGGACTGTCAGTATTTATTTATTACACAAGCATGGGTAAGAACAGGGTAGGGGGACACGTGTGGCATCCAGTGGTATCAGCTGACACAGGCAGGGCTTGTAAAAGGGGGGTAAGGCATTCTTGCAAAAGGAGCAGAACAGACCAAATGTAGGTTGTGGTTAACTAGTAAGCTACTGAAACAATTAAGGGAGGAATAGCTCTAGGAATGGAATGTGATTTGGAGCCATGCAGTCCTTGGCCACAATGCTATCTCACTTAGCAGCCCTACAGCTTCACAGATCAGGATTTAGATCTCTGCAGCAGCCATTGGTGGGGAAGCTTTACTAGCCTGCCTGCCATTCAACATGCACCTGTGAGTCATGTAGGCTTCAGTCTGGCTCTGAGCACACTGTAGCCAATTATGGGGGGAAAATGCCTGCTCCATACTGCAGCCTGCCCCAAGCCTGGCCAGGGGGTTCTGCTACAAAGGGAAAATGAGAAATACTTTAAAGGTTGTAGGTCCATAGCTCCCTGGCATGCTCCCTAAAGCAGTGGGAGGGAACACTTCCCAGAAGCAGTGAGTTTTAAGGTGTGACTTGAAGGAGGAGTAGAATTTTTATTCACTGATCAGGAAACAGAATATTGCATAAATGACAGAAACCTGAGGTTTTGAGAAACTAGACAGTTTGTGGATGTGCCTGGAATGCCAATTCCGGGGAGCACCTGGGAGTGTGACAGAGGACGAGGCTGGAAGGAAAGAAAGATGAGGGTAGGTTATGAGGAATTTTATCTTGTCACATGCCAGAGTTAGAACTTACTATGCAGTGGATCCCTGGAAAAGATCTATAAATTGGGTTTGATACCTCTAGACTTTTTGGGAAACCTTACTTTTGCATTAATGTAAGGAATGTATTTGGGAATGGGTAGGGAAGTCATTAGGAGGCCATTGCAACTTTGAAGACAGGGGTGATGAGGTTTTCTAGGGCCAGAGTGGTGGAGTAGATGAAAGGAGCCAGTGGAGATAGAACACATAGGGATGGCTGTAGGAGAGTGGTCATTTTGGGCAACTAAGCAAGTGGCAAGGACATTAGCAAACACATTAGTGAAGACTCTCCCATTCAAGCTCTTCGGATCCAATCTACCCTTTTAGACCCAAGGTGAGTGCCCTTTTCTTTACCAACCCTCTTTTTCCATCCCTTTCTCCTCAGAGACCACTCCCTACCAGATAGCCATTCTGAGATTCAGCATTGGACACTTTGCTCTCTAAACATAAAGTTATTATTTCATCAATGTTAGGTATTTTTCTAAACTGGATTGTGGGACTGTTCTCAGGACCCACAGCTCATGCATCTCTGATATTCATCCACTTACCATCACAATGTTGGCATTTACTGGGTTTGAGAGGCAGTGGGGACTAATGCTGAGTTTGCAAATGAAATTTTAATAAAAATTACTTATAAAGTTGAGATGTTCTGGTTAATGCAGGGGTAGAAGACTCAGAATCTAAGACATTTGGCCTCCTCCCTTCTAAACAGCAATACCCAAGAAACTCCATCGTATCTAGGGCCCTATGAGACACAATTTGAAAATTTTCAGCTTTGTGGATTGATCATAGTTTTTGGAGTCAGATTTGAGTTAAAGCTTCTATTCTGCTTCTTCCTTAAATGTAAAAAGGGAGAAAGATAAAGAAACAACTCCAAGCCTCACTTTTCTCTTTGTAAAACAGACATAATACATTCTTTGTAGGGTTATTGTGAGGACAAAGTAAGATAATGCATGTAAAAATCTCTGGCAATTATTTATATGCTCAGTAGATTATAGTTGTTGTTGGTAAAAATTGCTAACACATTAAGCCAGCACTTATTGATCTAAACTTCCTTATTCTCGGGTTAAGGAAAATCAGGATTGGAGAAGTTACTGTAAGCTTGAAATTAGGAGGGGAACCAATTTTGTCTTATGTATTGTCCACTCCATAAACCCATGACTACCTACCTTTTCATGAGGGGCTATCAATATTTAATGCATGGGTGTCAGTTGCTGTAAACTGAGCACATCCCAGCACCTACTTTAATTAATCATATGTGGGAGGAGAGAGCATAAAATGCCTTTTTCTCAGAGCCCTAAGTTTCACTGGCTACACAGAAGCCTGGAAACCACAGGGTGAAGTTCCTCCTAATGGAGGACCCTGAAAAGAAGGTGAATCAGAAGAGTGATGGCAAACCCCGGAAAGTACGATTTAAAATCTCCTCTTCCTACAGTGGTCGAGTGCTGAAGCAGGTCTTTGAGGATGGGCAGGAATTAGAGTCACCAAAGGAGGAATACCCTCATAGTTTTCTCCAGGAGGTTCTTGAACCCATGGATGGTGTCTACGGATCTGGGGAATCCCCCAAGTCCCCGCTGTATGCCCCTAGGCTGACTGCTCAGAGGATCAGTGTGTTCAGAGAAGGTAGTGCCTACACGTTGGCTGGCAGCCAGCCTCTGTTCAATGATTACAAGGCGAATGACCATAAGGTTGGTATCGTGTGTGGTTATAAGCTTTAAGAGTAGGATTTCCTAAAAATGTTTAGAGAAATACCTAAATGCTTCAGATTTGTTTCTTGCTTATGCTCAGCTACCAGCAAGAGTTATAGGTATACCAAATGGGAAGCTGTTATTAGAATAATATTTCTAGGACAAAAATAACATGCTTGTCGACTGCTCATTAGAAAGTGCAATGAGCATAAATAGTGTTCAAATTCCATCCAGAGTAATATATTGTAATTGGGGCTTTGGCTGTATATTTTCCATGTGTAAATTAAATAGAGGTGCAGTGGTTTTCAGGTTGCCAGAGTGCTCTTTTAGAAAGTTATGCAGCAGTAGGTCATTTTATTCTTGAAAGAGTTGGGTGTTTGAAGGAGACCAATTTTACTCCAGCCAATTACTCAGCTTGTGGTTTATCCATGTCTTGTTTTTTCCTCTATTACCTTCCTACTGCCAGCTTTTAAAAACATTTGCCTGATTATTAATTTTTTTGTATTTGCATTACTTAGTGGTTGGAATGCTGGGAAGAGATAGTGAAAAGCAAATCAACCAGAGGAGATGTTACCTGGGGAAGAAGTTTGAACAATGGTTCAATGGAAGCATGTGTTTTATCTATGAATTTCAGTTATCTTCCCTTGTACCATGGATAATCAAAAGTCCATACGTGATTTTCTCTTAGGCTAGAAGAACCTGGAAAATACTGATTTCTGAAATTCATAGGTGATGTCATGTCTTTGTTTATGCCAGTGGGACCATCAATGCGTTTTTCCTTTTAAAGATTATTTATAATTGTATAATGTATCCAGTTTATTAGTGAATAGAACACCAGGATATGTTCTCATCTTTAATGTGTGAAATTCAGATAATTACTCTAATCATTTTTATTTAGTGTCCTGAGGGAATAGGTAATATATCTATTGCAGACAAATGTATTGGACTTACTGGCATTGGTAAAAATATATTTATAGACATGTCCACAATTACTAAAGATAATATCAGGTTTCTTTTTGATATGAAAGGGAGCTGGAATGAACAACTCCTCATGTTATTGTAATAAACTATGCACTGCAAAATGTCATACATTATCTCCATTTATCTTATTGGGTCTTCACCACAATCTTGTGAAGAAAGGCAAAATGTAGTCATTCTCATTTTGCAAATGAGAAAAACTGAGTGCCAAGTTGATAAAAGATCTGCCCAATATTACAGGATTCTTAGGCAGAGAGTCAGAGTGAGAATCTAGATCTTTTCATTCATCACACTATTTGCTCTCTGACACATTCCTCTTTAAAGAACAAGATCATTCACAATAATAATGATAATAATAACTACCATTTATTGAATACTTACTGTGCTATATGTACTCAGCTATGTATTATACTTGCAGTATTCCTTTCAACCTATATCTTACTGGTATATTTAGAACTTACAAATTCATACTTCATTTAAACCTTATACAAGGCGATGGTAGATAATTTTGGGTTGCTTCATAAGTCATGTGCCAAACTTTGCTTTTATGTAAATGTATAATGTCACATGGATTTACAAAACCAGATAAATGAGTCTTTATGTAGCATGGCACAGTTGTCTAAAATGTGGAATTCAAGAGACCATCTTGAAGATTTGATTCCTGCTTGTTCTCATTATTCTTGTTTTCTTTGTTCCCTGATGAAGTATCAAATCACAATCTTAGCCAGGCTCTGGGATGTGAGGGGTCCTGATGGATTCTTGTAGTTTTGCAAACTGAAAGAGTTTGGTAATGTGATATGAGAAACAAAAAAATGAGACCTTGAATGTCACTATTTTTTAAATAGCAAATCCTATTGTGAAATAATCTCTAGTAAATACCAGCTGTAAGACCACAATGAGCAGCAGCTAAGTGCGGTGATTCAAAGGAATGTGCCTGAACATGATCACCTATATTTGTACACAAATGTTCATGGGAATTCACAATTGCCTAAAAGTGGAAGCTGCCTAAGTGTGCAATGACTGAGGAATGGGTGATCCTAATATAGTACATACATATAATGGAAAGCTTTTGTAAATAGGAAGGGGTAGACAGGTGAAAGAGAGGGAAGGGGAGTGGGAAAAAATAAGAACGAAGATATATAATGTACAAGTACAAATTCCCAATTATGAATATGATCATAATGTATACCTAAAATTTGCCAATAAACTTAATGAATTAAAAAAGAAAGGAAATATTGATACACTGCAACATGGATAAATCTTGAAAATATTAAGCAAGCAAAATCAAGCAAGTCACAAAAAAAACCCACTCTATGATTCCTTTTACATGATGTTCCTAGAGTAGTCAAATGCATAGAGACATAAAGTAGAATGGTGGTTGTCAGTGCTGGGGGAGAAAGAACTATTGTTTATTGGATTGAAAGTTTCAGTTTGAGAAGAAGAAAACATTCTGGAAATAACAGATGGTGGTGATGGCTGCATAATAATTTGAATGTACTTAATGCCACTGAACGTTACACTTAGAAATGATTGAAATGGTACATTTTATGTTATATATATTTCACTATAATCATCATCATAATAAAGCAAGGGCTGTGATGTCAGTCAAACTTGGCCTTGCTCTACCCAGCTCTACCTACTCACTGTGTGTACCTGGACAAATGTTTTAACTTTGCTGAGCTTCAGTATTCTTGTCCATGATATGAAGGTAATAGAAGTACCTCTTATGAGTTACTTATAGTGACTAAAAAAAGATAATAAACAATACCCACTTAGCATTGTGTCTGGCAACTTGTATGTGCTCAGTAACTATTATCTACCATTGTAATACTGAGCAGACTCTTATCAAGGAAATGTTGACTCTTTTTAAAAATCATATGTGTTAAGTAGAGAAAGTAGTTTTAAGTAATCAGAATATTTTAAGGCATTAAAATGGACTGAAATTTATAGTTTACAAATAGAAGAGGAAAGGAAGGGAGGTAACATTTACTGAACACTCATGTTATACATATTATGTAATTTTATCTTTGCTATATGTCTATATTTTGTAGAAAGAGTTCTAAAACAGAAGTTATAGTGGTTAACAATTTGCATAATCTTACACAGTGTCAACATTTGAATAAAATTTAGACCAGATCTGTCTCTAAATCCCATTAAGTTTCTAGTACCCAATAAAGGATCTATGCATTTGAAAATACAGCAATGGGAAAGTTTAACAGACTGAATAACAATCCCTAGGCAAGTTGCCACTGACACAGGAGTATTTACAAATGCTCAATCATCACAGTTTACCACTGTGGGCACAATGGAAGGGACTGAAAAATTCCTGGCTCCATCCTGGTCCTCTATAATGCAAGAATGGATGTTCCTCGTGGGTAATTGGATGTAACCAGATACTGTGGCCTTTAATTACACCCAGAGAGTTTTGTAACACATAAGGAAGAATTTGGTTGCCAAGATGGGTAAAACTTAAACAAACCATCAGGGTGATTTGGGACCCTCTCTCTTTGAAGTACATTAAAAAATATTGATTATCCTGGGTGCCTCAGATATTGGCAGCTTAGAGACAGGGGGTTGGAGCATGGGGTCTTAGATTCTCTTGGCAAATTGAGAGTTTTGCCTTCAAAAAAGAAAAGAAAAGAAAGGAAAAGAAAAGAAAAATTGCTGTGGACATGAGAAAGCTCAAGGTAACTGAATCTCTTTGGCTATTAGTGGAAGTAGAAATGAAACCTTCCAAAAGTACCACCATCCTATCTTCTGGTGTTTAGAAACTGATAGTCCAGAGTGTGAAATAGGAATCCAGTGTGCATAAAATAATAGGAAAAGGAAACTGCTACATGATCCGTTGAGGAGAGGGAGAGAAAACAGGGCCAGATAGGAAGCTTATGGCTTAAGAAATAGTCGCTGAAAACTTCATGACTATTTCAAGGAAGGGAACCTGAATATTGAAGTCTTGCTCAAGTCAGGTTTGACTGATACATGAAGGCTTTTAATACAAGACTGCTTAACTGTAGGATCTACATAGATTTGGTTTATGCAGTTCTATACATAAGGTGAAATATTTCATGCTGAGGTATTTAGTTGTATAGCATGAATGTGCATGTAGTACTGAAGAACAGTTTTTAATAATAACAACTGTCACAATGCACACCTTTGCATTATCTCCAGCTTTTCCCAAACCTGTTTTATATGTTTTTCTCAGCACCTCCCACCCCTCCAGAAGTTGATATCATTAGCCTCAGGGATTAGAATAAGAATATTTAATAAAGGGACATTCCTTAATCAGCACAGAAGCTAGTGGAGGGTTGGGCAGGGTCCTGGAAATTGAGATCCTGCCCATTGACTCTTATCCACTGGGTTCTGGAATGTTAGAGACTCCCTGAAGGGAATCTAGGTAACAGGAGGGCACTTAAGAATCTCAGGACAGTTCCTGTTTACCACCAGTGTGGAAACACGTCTATATTTTAATAACTAGCTTTTCTGTAGCAGTGCTTACCAGCTACATGTCAGCCCATTCGCAGATGAGCAACCTGGTATTCTGAGAGGTTACACAACTCTCCCGTATCACACCACAGGTGGACAGTAGAATTGGTATCCAAAGCTGTTTCTCTCCATACTCTCCTCATTCTGGGTAGAAATATGTATTCTTGAACAAGTAATTCCAAAATATTTAGTTCTGCAGGCTGCAACAGATAAGGATTGAACCCAGTGTCTTGTGTATGTGAGGCAAGTGCTTACCACTGAGCTACACCCCAGTCCCTGGATTTTGTACTGCATTGCAATATTGCTGAAATTTGTTCCCAAGCAAAAAAACTAGCTAACACAAGATAAATCCATACAAGGAAACATGAGCTATTAATAACTATGTTTTAGGATGTATTTATTGACATAAAATATTTTTCTATTATATAGATTACAACAGAGTATGTGCATTGATCCTATATTTGGGGAAGAGTACAGTATAGGTGTTAAGAATATGGGCTTTAGTATGAATTGGGTTTGAATCCCAGGTGTAGTACCTGACTAACTTCATCACCTCAGTGAGGTACTTAACCCTACTAAGACTCAGTCTTGTCATCTGTACAATGTAGAAATCATAGCATCTACTTCATAGGGACATTTCAGGGGGGCAGGGAGGCAATGCTGGTAAAATTCTTAGCACGATGTCTGACACAAAAACAGTACTCCATGAATGGTGTCTGCCAATAGTATGTATGCATAGAAAAAATGGAAGAGATGTTTGTATAAAATAAAGTGTTTGCATTTATCGAGCACTCATTGTGCCTAGCCCTGCACTGAGGCTGTGGTATGTGGAATGTGGTATGCGGAGGCTCTAGACCTTTCCCTGTAGGATCTTACACTGAGTAGTTGAGATTTGATTGTTAGCATGAATGAAAAGCAGAAAGCTGGTTTTCATGGCTTTCAGAAAGAATAAATAAACCATGGGATGATGGGATGAGAAGCACTGGCTGGTAGCAACCCCTTCTCGTCTATTTCCTGGAATGTGGACAGGTCCTATAACCCTGTCTGTGGTGACTGGTGATGAAGGTTTCATGCTCATTCTCCATTCTCTAGCCCCCACCTATTATAGATTTTGGAAAGATAATCATCTACACAAATAACCTGAAAATCATTCGAACCCCGATGGAGAAGAGGGACTTCATGAGGAAAATTCTCCAGAAGGAAGGGGAAACTGAAGAAGAGTGTCTGATGAGCAAGGAAGAAAGCTATGGAGACAGAGACCAGAATGACAGGCCTTTGGAGGAGCCAGAAGACACATTTCCCCATAATCAGTACACACAGGTGAGTCTGGGTGCCAGCCTGCCTGAGTGGGGAAGGCTCTGCAACTATGTTCTCCAAATTATTTTGGTTGTGAACTACTTAAGTAAAAACTTTTGAGTAAGATACTTAAGGTGTTTGAATACTAAAGATGTAAAGGAATTTTAATGTCTATTATATTTTACTGGTACATCATTAGCAATAGCTGTTTAAGTATATATTTCAAGTATTCATGACCTTTATTGTTTTGGTTGGGTACTTTCTTTCTTTGACTGTAAAATGTGGCTTATGAACAGCTAGAGCTAGAGATGGAAAAAAAATCAGTTCTGTCTTGTCCTTATTGGTTCACTCATGCTTCTATTATTGGTGTTATCCTCACTCCACAACCTCCTTGAAGACATTTTTGAAGCCACATGCCTATTTTGCAGATTATTTAGTTAAAAATAAGCAATATTATTCACAGGTGCATGTGTCTAGGCACGAGTAAACTGCAGTGTGCTGCAATATACTGAAAGTGAACAAATGATCTGGATGCTACTATCGGCAACACTGAATGTGTACTCCAAGGTCCCGTGACTGACTGACTGAGTGAACGTGTTAGTGTTAACTAGTTCATTAAAAATTGGTATAAAAATTTCTTTAATAACATTAGTAGAGCTAAATTTCTTGCCTATTTTTATTTTTTATTATTTATTTATTTATTTTTCTTGCCTATTTTTAGATAAAATAAATATAAATAGCTATAAAGTTTTCTCCCTATAGTCCATGCCACCTTGGAAACCATTGCTTAGTCAGGTTCAAACAAAGGACAAGGGAAAAGAGGGCTGGTAGTTGTTCATTCGCAGTGGGATCTGGGGGTGGGGAGGCAATTCTGGTGAATTTAGGCTAAGGGTAAAAGCTTGGGTAGTAGGAGAAATGAATTTGCTTTCTCTTAGATTCAATCTACTGGGATTTGAAGCATACTATGGGACTCAGTCTCGTCATTTGTGGGTTGGTATGGAAAAATTGGCTAGGGGCTTTCTGGACCTTGAGTGATATCCCTACTCTGGGAAGGTTATGAGGTTATGGCTGGGCGTTGACTGATGGCATTAGGCCAAAATACCAAAGACTCCCTATAAGCTCATTTCTCTTACTTTGTAAATCTACCTACCTCTCCACAACCTCTCTAGAATCCACTTTCTTCTCTTGTCTTTGCTTCTCACCCTACCTATACCACAGCACAAGACACCTGGGCTCCAGCCAAAGATGATATACTTAAGTTTTGTTCACATCTGTTCATGTTTCTTTCCAACTTGATATTATTCTTAATAAAATGGTTTTGACATGAAAGTCTGATTCCATCACCCCTTCTTTTTTTTTTCTTAAATTCTTTTATTGGTACATTGTAGGTATACAACAAAATTACATTTCTCATTGGGAATTGTACCTTTACATAATGCATCTTGG